GAAGGCCACCACCGCCCGACATCTTAGAAGACCGCCGCTGCCGGTTCCGTTGCCGCGGTCACTGAACCGCCGGAACCACAAACCATCCCAATCAACTCCTCCGCCCCATCTGCAATCTTCCCGGCAGCTCCTCCGCCCATAGTCCCGCCTCCGTCACAAATTGCTTCCTCCGACGTCACTAAACCCGCCGGGACCACCCCGTAACAACCAACAGCTCTACCCCATCCACCATCTCCTCCGGTTGCCATCTGCCCACAGACCTGCCTACACCACATATTTCACCCTCCGCCGCTGCACGTCCTCTTTGGCCGGATGACCAATGCGATTTTGGTCGGTATGACCACTGCTATTTGACCGATTGTAGCATCTGTACATCATGTGTTTGTTTGAGTTTTTAGGGTTGTTTTTGTGAGAATTAGATTTATTAGTGTGGTCTAATTGCAATTTTTGAAGTTTTGATATATTTTCAATTGAGTACAATTAGGCAAATTGATAATATAATAAAATTAAATACATACACAATAATACATTGCACTATATTAGTTTTTTATACTTCAATAGAAAATAATAGTTTAAAATTTTTATACAAAAATATAAAATATAATATTTTAATATAAGTTGGTTTTTAATATAAAAAATAATAATAATAATAATAATAATAATAATAATAATAATAATAATAGATCCAAAATATAAAATTTCGTATCGAAATTCTTTTCGCCGGATTTTGTTCGATTTTGTGCAATCTGATAGGCATTTATGTGCATTTCGTATAACCCTAATGGGCACTCGCAATACATAAAAAATATAGACAAAAAAAATAGTTTCATTTATAATAAAAAAAAATATAATAAATAAAAAAAATTCGGTCTTATTTTTCATAGTTCGGCATGTTTGGTTATTTTGTTTATTTAAAAGTAACTAAATACGACATTAACCAATTAATATTATTCGATCGTTCATTGGAATTACCGTAATTTTAGTACGTGGAACGTGTTGTGTTATAAAGTGCAATATATTGCTGTATAAAGTGCAATATATTGATATATAAAGTGCAATACTTAAATTAATAGGATTGTGTGTTTTTTTCTTTTTTTGTGTGGATATATGTTGTGATGGATTATGTCGCTCATTTTTTATATTTATATTGCTTATTGTTTTGGCGGGAGTTGTTGACATTAATTGTGAAGTGTGGTTATAAAGTGCAACGTGTTGTTTTATAAAATTCGATGTGCTGATTTATAAAGTGCAGTATTCCGCTATATAAAATGCACTAGTTTATTCTCATATGTATCCGAAAACTAGTTTTAATCCATATAATATTACATCTAATTAACCTAAATAATTAAGATACCTTTTCATTTATTATTCTTATTATATGATTTATTTATTATTGTAAATTATTTATAATATTTTACTATTTTTATTTAATAATTTTGTACTATATCTGCAATTTTAACAAAGGGTCCCATGCAGACATGGTCAAAGGGTTTATTTTTAGTCAAACACGCGGTACATTTCTGTAAACAAGTGGATTTTTGATTTTTCACGTAGGGGTATTTGTGGACTTTTGTTTCTTCACGCAGAGTACTTTAGTTATTGCGTAAAATGTATTGTTGCGATAAAGTGCAATATCACATGCATTAAAGTGCAATTTGTATAACGATATGGTACAGTCTGTATAGTGATATTTTTAATGTGCAATTCCGAAATCGATATGGTGCAATGTAATGTACATTAAAATGCAATTATTAAAGTTTTATTAAATTAAAGATTTGATCCATGAACCAAAGTGTAATATAATTAAAATTTATAAAATTGCAATTAGGTTCCTTAAACCTATCTAATTTTCAAAAAAAAAAACCCAAACCCCAAAATTCAATTTTCCGTCCACTTTGTGGGTGATATTCGGCAGCGGCGGCCTCACGCTCATCATCTTTGCCATGTCAGAAAGCCATAGCCGGGTGATTGTGTGGTTCATCATCAAGAGAAGTGATTACTCATTGAACAAATGATTCGACAAATCCCAATCTATTGACCGCGATTTTCTGTGATTTGAAGCCCCAATGTGTTTTAATCTCTACTGGTCGATTTCGAGGTCGTCGGAGGACGGTGAATCCAGTGAGCGGCGTCGCGGGCCTCCACTGGACACGGACTTCGGCGATGGATCGATTGGAGGTGGCTCTACCATTTTATGGCGGCAGATTCGTGGGCGACCGAGGTCGGTTCTGGTGGTCTGCTCATGTGGAGGCGGGAATCTCTGAGATGGCGACGACGGAGGTGGTATTGGCCGACGGCAGGGCGGTGACCGGTAATGGTCTGGCCGAGTTCTGACGGGAAGTGTGTGTGTTTTTATGGGTGTGTCCATGTGAGAGAGGGGGGTGGGTTCTAGTGGCGTGGTGTGAGGTAGGTTCGCTGAATTACAAACGTGCCCTTCGATTTAATTGCAGTATTAATTGTCGCCATCTGCTTGATATCCGTTAGATTGAGTTGATCGCGTGCACCATATTTATTCTCATTTCTCACATTAAGAATCATTCTCACGGAGCGTGGCCCTATATATATATATATAGGATGTAGTTCAAATAAGAACCAAGTCTTAATGTGAGAACTGTGAGAACCGCTATTTTTATTTGGGCGCAGTGCTATGATTGGTTGTGTTTGATGTTATTTTTAACTAGGATAAATTTTATTAAAAATAGCAACACAATTTCTGGTAGCACTTGTAAAAATGATAGCATCATCTAATATGAAAAATAGCATCATACACAATTAAAAATAGCATAAAAAATGGTTCTCACTGTTCTCATACCAGAACTAGTTTTTATTTGAACTAACTCATATATATATATATATATATGTGTGTGTGTGTGTGTGTGTGTGCGTGTGTGTGTGTGTGTGTGTAACGGATCATATGAGAATGATTCTTAATGCAAAAAATGAGAATAAGTTTGGACCATGTGATCAAGCATATCAATGGTTATGATGAAGTCAAATTATGGTCAATTATTAATGACAATCTGGTAATTATTGACCATAGTGTGGTCAAATATGTGTATTTGACCAATAATTAAGAGTAAGGTGGTAAATAAACATGTAAAGTGGAATCCACTCATTAAATCAATTCAATACACTTTTCTCTCTCCTCAACCTCTTCTCTTTCTCATCTTTACGCATTGAACACACACTACACACACACACACATACAGATTTCCGGCAGGCCAACCACCACATTACCGCCGCCTTCCGCCGACAGCCATCAGTTTCGAGCCCACCTTCCGGCCACCGGAGCACCGCCGCGCAGTCACCTCCGTCTGTTCTTGCACAACCGCCGCCGCCTCTCATCTCGCCGCTGTTGTGTACAAATTGTTATATTACCGAGTACCAAATCGAAGGATTCGTTTCCCGGGTCGATCTCTCGAGGAAGACGGTTCGGAATTTAGAATTGGTATTGATAACACAAAAAAGAAAAAATAAATTCTAAACACTATAATCAGATTGGGGAGGAATTAACTATCAATTAAGAAATAGCATAAAAGCATAAATCCTAAAATACCAACTAAATAATAATAAAGAAACTAGGGAATCGGGGATAATTTATTCAAGTTCGCAACGTAAAGCCAGACAATTGATCGTTCGGTTCGGAATTGACACTCTCGCCTACACGTCTAGCGGTTCACTCCCAATAACTCTTCGTAACAAGGAATTGAACATAGACGAGCAAGTTTGAGCATACAATACCGGCCAAGTATCCAATCCCAATAACTTTTCGTAACAAGGGACAAGACACCGACAAGCATGTATTTCAATCCAAAACCCATAGATTATTCAGTTACGAAATCATCTATCTCATGCGAGCCTAGGTCTACGACTTCTCCCCTTCGGTTCTAAAAGTTGCTAATTCAATTAGAAGGTGTTTAATCAACTAATCATGTAGGATCAATAAACCCTAACTCAACAAATCAATAATCAAGCACAAAATCAAAGTGTCACTCTTCGATTATATCAATAAATTAACCTAAGTGTCACTCTTAGGTTATATCAAATCATCAAGCAAGAATTCATCAATTCCTAATTAAATTTACTCGCACAAGAACATACGAATCAAGCCCGAAAAATACAATCATCCCCTATCCCTAACAGAAGGAATTAGCCACTCATATTCAATTCAACACCATCAACCACAACAATCAAAGCAATCATATTCATGGATTAAATGAATAGAAAACTTACGATTAAAACAGAATTGATAGTTGAATATGAAATACAAGATTAATCCGAAAGTAATGAAGAAATCCAAGTGAAAAACAAGATCAAGATGGTGTTCTTAGGGTAAGAGAAGGGAAAAAAATGGGTTTTTGGGGGATTTTCTGGTCTGGGAACGAGTCCCCCTCCAAAGTCCTCGAATAACGAACAAAATCAAGCTTTTAAAATTATGGTCGCGACCTCCGAGGCCACGGTGAAGAAATCTCGCGGCCGCGACAATCCCCGAGGCCGCGGAATCATCCGGACAGAAGTGGGACTTTTGGGACCCTCGCGGCCGCGGCGACTAAAACTGGGCAGCTGCGCGCTGCTTTACGTTTCGAGCTCGTTTGGGCTCGTCCGAACTCGGAATCGAGTTCCGTTTTTTGCTATGCATCACCAACAAACCCATCTATCCAGTTATGCTCTCAAAACCAACTTTTCCTGAAGATAAAATTCGCCCGAAGCTCCTGACCAACACACCGAAAACGACAAAACACAAAAGAAAACCGAAAAAACAAACGAAAAACACCTAAAGACTCAAGATGAAGGAATACACATAATAAAACACGAAACGGACTAAAAAATAAAGAAACGACCTAAAATGGGGGAAAAAGAAAGATAAAATAAGCACGAAAAACGCAACAAAAATGAGACAAACAGCCGCCGCCGCCTCTCATCTCGTCGCCACCGGCTTTCTGCCTGTCGCCGCTTTTCAGCCCGCTGTTGTCCCCTTTCTCAACTCGCCATCGCCATTTTCAGCTCGCCATCAGCATTCCGCCACCGCCCTCGCCACCGTACAAAAACATGTCGAGCTCCTCCGTCATCACCGACACCGGCAACGTCGCTGTCGTCATTTCCAGACCGACCCCCACTTCCAGTCCTTGTCGTCCGTCGGCCACTCATGCTGCCTCCGTCAATGGCCGCTTCAATGTCGTGAATTTTCCCGTCATCTTGGCTTCTCGCTGGAAAATCGTCGGTGAATGTCGGCGGCGACTAACAGGCCAACGTCGGCCGCCGACGACCTCTGTGATTGTGGCCGGATATGGCAAGTTGCTGTACCATGAGTGTTGTTTGAATTTTGGGGTTATTTGTGTGAGAATTTGATTTATTCTAGGGCCCTAATTGCAATTTTTAAAATTTTATTTTATTTCAATTGAGGACAATTGGCAAATTGGTAATATAGTAAAGGTTTAATACATACACAACTATACATAAAATGAACTACATTATTTTTTTATACTTCAATAGAAAATCATAACTTAATATTTTTTATACAAAAAAATATAAAAATATTATTTTTAATATAGTTTGGCTTTTATTTTAGTTATTTAAATAAAAAAATGTCATCGTATCGAAAATACTCGTTATGTAAAAAAAAAAAATCGAAACAAAATATAATATTTCATACCGAATTTATGTTCGTTGGATTTCGTTCGATTTTGTGCAATATGGTAGGCATTTATGTGCAATCAGTATAATCATTATGTGCATTCGCCAATACATATAAAAATATATAAAAAATAGTATAATTTTTTATTAAAAAATATAAATAAAAAAAGAATTGGTAATATTTTTCATATAGTTCTTCATGTTCAGTTATTTTATTTATTCAAAAAGACTAAATTCGACATTTAACCAAGTAATTTATTCGATCAATTAGCAGAATTACCGTATTTTTTTTCGTACGCGTGTGTATTGTATTGTTTTAAGTTGTAACATGTCGTGTTATAAAGTGCAATGTAATTCCGTATACAGTACAAGTATTGATATATAAAGTGCAATTATGTAGATCCATTTTTTATTTTTATGTGCGTAATATTTTTGGCGGAAGCTAGTGACATTAATTATGTTGATAAAGTGCAACGTGTCGTCTTATAAAGTGCAACCTGTTGTTTTATAAAGTGCAACGTCACGCTATATAACGTGCATTGATTTATCAATTAATATTTTTTGCGGGAGCTATTTACGTTAATTATGTTGATAAAGTGCAATGTATTTCCGTACAGTGCCATGTATTGATATATAAAGTGCAATTATGTAGCTAGATCCAATTTTTATATTTTTATGCGTAATATTTTTCGGCGGAAGCTAGTGACATTAATTATGTCGATAAAGTTCAACGTGTCGTCTTATAAAGTGCAACCTGTTGTTTTATAAAGTGGAACATCGTACTGTATAACGTGCATTAATTTATAAATTAGGTGTATTAAAAAATTATTTAATATATATAATTACACATTGAATTAACTTAAATTATTAAAATATTTTTTTATTTATTATTTTTTATTATATAATTTACTCATTACTATAAAATATTTTTATGTTATTTTATATTTTACATTATTGTATTTAATAATTTATTTATGTTTTAATATATATACATAACAAAAGGTACAATAATAACCTTTTATTAACTTTCAATCAAGGTTTTCAAAATCGAGATTCTAAGTAGAATCGTTTTGTGTGCAGAATCGGAATTGTAGAATTGGAATCGTAAAATCGTAAGACTCTACTCAAAACGTCTAAAATTAATTATTTTAACAAGTTTTATGGTAATCATCAAGAATATGTATCAAAATACTAAAAAAAACCACCACTTGTTTTTCAAAATATAAAATATTCAAATTTTAACACTCTGCGCGTTCAAATTTCAAAGTTAGCACTTACAAATACATAGACACAGCCATTCAAACGTCACATATAGTCCAAACTCTAAAGTCAGAACCAAAGTCACGGCTATCAAGGCGTCAACAAAAAATTCAATCTTCTTAGTTCCTAAAACTGTGATTCTGTGAATTTCCCCTGTTCCAACAATGATAAAAACAAATTACAGGGAGATAAGTAGGGATAAATGGTTACCTCTAAACGGGAGAAAAACAAAGCGATGAAGCTTAATTGCTGAGAAGTCTGCTCCGACGAAGAAGACGCAGGCGTCGAGGCTGAGCCATTTTAACGTCGAAGACTATCACAGGCTACAAGCGTGCGAACTGTGGATTATGGAGAATTGGAGGCCAAAGAAGAAGAGAGAGAGAGATGGATTTGAGTTTAACGTCGGAGTACGACGGTCGGCCGGCGAGGGATGGAGGTGAAGAAGTCGCGATTTGTGACAGAAGAGCAGAGGGAATTAGGGGAAAATGAATTCAAATTAGGGAATTTAGGATTTTTGGGTATTTTTTAAATTTATTTTAATTAATTTGTTTTAGATTGGGCCAAGGGAAGGGAATATTTATGCTTCTTTGGGCCAATTTGTGTAAAAAAAAATCAAAAGAAACAGCCCAAGTGCGTAAACGCAGCCCAATTTTAAAATCTGGTTCATTTTTTGAGTTTTGCACAGAATCGGTCAAAGTCGTAGAATCGGTCCGATTCTACGATTTTGACCGATTCTACCGATTCTGCAGCGACTTTACATGCCTTTGCGATTTTGAGCGACTTAGAATCGATTTTGTGACTTTGAGTCGTAGAATCGGCGATTCTACGACTCAAAGTCGCGATTTTGATAACCTTGCTTTCAATAATTATAAATTTGGCATGTGGGTTAAATTGAAATATAATTACAACTGTTAAAATTGCAAATAGATCCTTACACCTAATCTAATTCTCAATAATGTGCCCAATCCTACAATCCATTTTCATTTTTATATTGCTATCATCACCTCTCCAAATTCATCTCCATCCTCCACCACCCCACCCGCCGTCGACCAGCTATCTCCGGTCGCGACGTCCTGCGTCCATGGCCGGAGCGATGTTTTCTTTCGTGTTGGAGCTTCCCGCCACTGCGACCTATGCGGGCATTGCCACGTCTGACGACGGGTTCCCGACGGCCGTGAACTATTGCCGGAGTGTGTCGGCGACGACTGCAACGATTGGAGCTTCGTGGTGGAGGCGGATGACAGCAACTGGTCGGAGCTCTTTCGCGTCCGGCAGAATGACTGCGTCTGGTGGAGATGCAGCGGCGCGTTCATGAACCTTGGCGGCAGGAGGCGGTCGACGGTGGAGGAGCTCACAGACCAGTTGGCAGTTGCACGCGTCGGTGCGTGCTCACAGTCTGTTGCGGCGAGGATGCCGGCCGGTGACAGCGGCGGATACCGGCGGTCGACGGTGGAGGAGCTTCTTATATGTACGTATATGTGTGTGTATGTGTGTGTGTGTAAGTGTGTGCGATTAATGTACAGTGTGTGTGTGTGTGTGTGTGTGTTTATGTATGGTGTATAGTGTGTGTAATTAATGTGTACAGTGTGTGTGATTAATGTGTACAGTGTGTGTCTGGTGGGTGGGTGGGTGTGCAGAGTGTGTATGCGTGTGTTAGGTGTGTGTGTGTGCATGTGTTTTGTATGTGTTAGGTGTGTGGGGTGGGTGATGTGGTATGGGGATGTGTTGGTGATGTGTAATATTAATTATCAAAATACCCTTGAAGGTATAATTTTGACTTTTTTTAGCCATTAGATCATCCGATCTAATGGCTACGATTTATTCCTATTTCTCGCATTAAGGGTCCTATTTAATTGTGAGAAATGTAAAATTTTAAATCATATAAATTTAATAAATAGAATAAATAAAAATTACACTCAAGTAACACAAGTGGCATTTGGTAATCATTAAAATGGTATATAGGTTGATAAAAATCGATATCTATATATTACCATCATTGACATAGTTTTGGGCACGAAAAGAATGTTGTTTATATTTCGCATATAATTAAGCTTTAGTTATTAGCAATTTCTACAAATGAAAAAATAGTTATTTTTTTCTTTATACAATGGCTAAAACACATTAAATATAAATTGACTTAAGTAGAATAATTGACTGAGTACAAATATTTTGAATAAGACCATAATACCAATTTCGTAGTAATTTTGTTGAAATAATTTTTAAAAAAAATGTATTCGTTATAATTATAAAAATAATCGATTAATTTAATTATTATTTCATGGTTGTAGATATGAATTATGTTCATCAATAAAAATCACTTAAAATATATAATAAAATAATTATATTTGAATTATATTAGCTTAATGAATGGTTTAAAATATTGATATATTTTTATAAAATGTATTCGACTTAACTGTGAATAAATTAAAACTCTCTTGAATATATCTTTTGTATTGATAATACTACTGAAAAATTAAGTTATATATTAATAAATTAGCTTTTGATGGTCGGGTGAAATTTAGAATTATAAATTTCACGTTAGAATAATTACATACATTAAAAGAACACTATTCAAAGTGTTAAAAAGTAATTTTTTTTTTTTAATTTGAGCATCCTCCTTCTGTTTTTATTTATTTATTTATTTTTATTTTTTTTATCTGCCACCATTCTTGTCGGAGGTCAGGCGCTTCGAGCTCTCATACTGAGGGGAGAGGGGGGCTGAGGTGGCTCAGGGATTGTGGATTCTTGTCCAAGGGAGGTATCTGCAGTACCTTGGTAGTTGCCCATCGTGGTCGTTTTGGGCGCAATAATTTTCTCATGGAGTCGGCCTAGAAAGAGTGGAAGCCATCAGCGCAACTACACAAGGTCAAGGATATGCAAACATAGATAATAATAAGTAATGGAACAACAAGAAGGTGAAGCAGATAATCATCTACCTAAATCAGTAATGGGTTGGGACTTTAGTGAGGTCAGGCCACAATGAGCACATTCTGAAATGCGGGGTGTAGATGATTTAGAAACCAAAATAGCTCGATAAATAGACCTGAGTGATTAGCTCGGGTATGACCGATTTATAGGAGCTTCACCTCAGTATCAGAGCTCGCTTAGACAACTAGGAGTAGAGGTCAACCTGGTTAGAAGACTTAGAGGTCTATTGGTTGCGACATGGTAAGAGTCACTGGCAGGTGGGCCCTGAGGTCACTTGGACGATCATTCCGGGATGTGATTTTCAGCTACTCTACCGGCAAGACGGGCAACCAGGGGCTATCGCTTGAGCCATACCGAGATAAGCAACTTGGGACTATCACGCGCTCCGAGGCAGGAAGGTTCACGGTTAGTATCCCTGAGCCCGTTGTTTCTTCCTTAGTCGGACCGTTTGATAATGCACTCATTTTGAAGTTTTCATTCTCTGTCCCCTCCCTCCGAGACTTATCTGTTGGATTAGGCAAGATGGGTTTTAAGGGTAGAGTCACCCCTAAGTTCTTAAATTTCAACCACTACCTTGTGTTCTTTGAGTCGAGAGAGGATTATTACGAGGTTTGGATCAAGACGTATGTGAACGTCTGTGGGTGCTCTGGACGAGTGTTTAAGTACACCCCCAACTTCTCCACTTCGACTGAGTCACCCATTGTCCCAGTCTGGTGTTGTCTCCCAGGCCTTATGCCTCATCTCTTTAACCCCACTATACTCTCCTCGATTGCCAGTTGTATTGGCAAGCCGATCCAGGTTGATGCCCCCACGGCCAACCGCTCGAGGTTATCCGTCGCACGAGTGTGCGTCGAGATAGACCTCCGTGGTGAGCTCATCGAGGAGATTGAGCTCAACCAGGGAGGAAGAGTCACTGTCCAAAAGGTGGTTTATGAGAGAGTTCCACCTTTCTGTACGCTCTGTGACCATGTGGGTCACGCTGCGTCGGACTGCTACACCAAGGGCAACAAGCCCCGACCGTCACTTCCCCCACGCCGTCGGACGGCTAAACCGGGCCCCTCATCTTCTCAAGAGGACCCAAAGGGGAAGGGTAAGGCCCCTGCCCGTGCGCCTGAGTCCCTGAAGGGACAAAAAGACAAGGGTAAGGCTGTCATTGAGGCCCCGCACCAGGTCGGGAAGGCTCCCCAGCCTAACTGTCCCAAGGAAGCTGCTCTGGACGGGCCAAAGTCAAGAGCCACGGGGTTGTTCCCTCACCAGTCCCTCCAGAATGCTCCCGTGGCGGTTCAGTCCTTCTTCTCTGCCCTCGCTTCAGAGACGGTGAATGAGCCTGCTTCCACTTCCAATACCCCAGGGGATACGATCATCTCTCCCTTTGATGATGATGACCTTTTGAATGACGAGATAGATTCGTTTGTCCCTCTAGCGACCATTGCCTTCAGCTCCCGCGCCAGCAACCTCTTCATATCTATGGAAGACCCGCAGGATTCGGGGCTTCCTCCCACCTACACCCCCTTGGCCGGGACTATAGCTTCCCTTGGCCTCTCTTCTGAGAGTGAGCATTTGGTTGCACCCACGACCAGTGCCACCTCTATGCCCACAGTTGGGGACCTCTCGACCCTGCCTGCCGACCCAACCCCCCTCCAGGAGGAGGAGCCCACACCTCCCCCTGACCGGACCATGCACGTTGCTGGTTCGGGCAATCCCCAGCCGCTCCCTCGGGAGGATGCCCCCCTGAGAGCCCAGTCCACCCTAAGACCAGATCTCTAGAGGACATCCTCTCGACGAGCCCAGATCACCACCGTCCTCAGACCAGATCTAGGACCACACGACGCTCGGGCAACCGAGCCTTACCCTTCTCAGATAGACAGACTCAGCCTTGCCACGGGCAGATCCAGTCTGTATAGTGAAATGTATTGTTGCGATAAAGTGCAATATCACATGCATTAAAGTGCAATTTGTATAACGATATGGTACAGTCTGTATAGTGATATTTTTAATGTGCAATTCCGAAATCGATACGGTGCAATGTAATGTACATTAAAGTGCAATTATTAAAGTTTTATTAAATTAATGATTTGATCCATGAACCAAAGTGTAATATAATTAAAATTTATAAAAATGCCAGAACTAGTTTTTATTTGAACTAACTCATATATATATATATATATATGTGTGTGTGTGTGTGTGTGTGTGTGTGTGTGTAAGGGATCATATGAGAATGATTCTTAATGCAAGAAATGAGAATAAGTTTGGACCATGTGATCAAGCATATCAATGGTTATGATGAAGTCAAATTATGGTCAATTATTAATGACAATCTGGTAATTATTGACCATAGTGTGGTCAAATATGTGTATTTGACCAATAATTAAGAGTAAGGTGGTAAATAAACATGTAAAGTGGAATCCACTCATTAAATCAATTCAATACACTTTTCTCTCTCCTCAACCTCTTCTCTTTCTCATCTTTACGCATTGAACACACACTACACACACACACATACAGATTTCCGGCAGGCCAACCACCACATCACCGCCGCCTTCCGCCGACAGCCATCAGTTTCGAGCCCACCTTCCGGCCACCGGAGCACCGCCGCGCAGTCACCTCCGTCTGTTCTTGCACAACCGCCGCCGCCTCTCATCTCGCCGCTGTTGTGTACAAATTGTTATATTACCGAGTACCAAATCGAAGGATTCGTTTCCCGGGTCGATCTCTCGAGGAAGACGGTTCGGAATTTAGAATTGGTATTGATAACACAAAAAAGAAAAAATAAATCCTAAACACTCTAATCAGATTGGGGAGGAATTAACTATCAATTAAGAAATAGCATAAAAGCATAAATCCTAAAATACCAACTAAATAATAATAAAGAAACTAGGGAATCGGGGATAATTTATTCAAGTTCGCAACGTAAAGCCAGACAATTGATCGTTCGGGTCGGAATTGACACTCTCGCCTACACGTCTAGCGGTTCACTCCCAATAACTCTTCGTAACAAGGAATTGAACATAGACGAGCAAGTTTGAGCATACAATACCGGCCCAGTATCCAATCCCAATAACTTTTTGTAACAAGGGACAAGACACCGACAAGCATGTATTTCAATCCAAAACCCATAGATTATTCAGTTACGAAATCATCTATCTCATGCGAGCCTAGGTCTACGACTTCTCCCCTTCGGTTCTAAAAGTTGCTAATTCAATTAGAAGGTGTTTAATCAACTAATCATGTAGGATCAATAAACCCTAACTCAACAAATCAATAATCAAGCACAAAATCAAAGTGTCACTCTTCGATTATATCAATAAATTAACCTAAGTGTCACTCTTAGGTTATATCAAATCATCAAGCAAGAATTCATCAATTCCTAATTAAATTTACTCGC